TCAGATTCTAGCCTAGCTCTCCGTCAGACAACGCATCGACTGCAGAAAAAACGGCTTCTGTCGCTCTTCGTATAGTGCCAGATAAACTTCGGCACATCTGGGCAACAATAAACTGCGTTGCCTGTTAGATTTTTAACTTCATCGAAAAATTGGTGCATTAAAGGAACAGTGGAAATTAAAAGATGTTAAATAAATGTCAAACAATGGTTGGGAAACTTGAGGTTTCAGGTATTTCCTTTGATTTACAAACCGTCATTGCTGTTCCAATTGTCTCAGACAGCATGTGAACCCTACAGAGGTAGCCTTATTGGCTTCAGTGAATGTATAAGTAAGTGGAAGCTGGTGGTTTACATATCCGAGTCGAAATACACCCCGAATTGCTTCGGTGTGAGTAGTTGAGATCAGGGGAAGAGCTGTCTATCACCATGACGTGGTAGTTGCTCTCTAATAAAACAAAGTATAATTGAAGTACAGTTCAGCGCGTCACGTGGCAAAAACCGTGAACGTTGACGAAAAGTTTAAATGTCACGGACGAAGATGCTATGAGGTTGGTTAGTTCATGTCTGATGCATGTACGTCTGAGAAAGTGAAAAACGGAGACCAGGGAATAATCAACGGAAGGAGAGTGATGAGAACAAGGTATGGGCCGCTATGTATTTTGGATAAAAACTGGTTGGATGCTGGGAAAATAGGAACCTCTGGGGTGGCAATTATCAGACTAGTGAGGAATGGAGGAAGATAGATGTGGCGTTGCATTCCAACAGGGAATAAGAGTACGAAGATTAGGGTTCGATTAGGGTACAGGGATTACAGCCTGGGCAAAACGGTGGAATGTTTATGATGAAAAAGCTGGGAGAACGCGAAATGGGAATCTATGGACACCAGGAGGGAGTTTGGTGGGGACAGGAAAAACTTTATGATTATGGAGAGAGGCCGGAGATCAGTGTCTCGGTTGCATGATCAGGCAAATAAACGGTCAGGGTTTGTTCGAGTGCATAAGCTTGCTGAACATGGACCTTCGACAAGAGTAGCCCTTTTCATTCCAGTAGACCCTAATTCCCAGCCCCCTGAAATTGGAGCTGTGTTTGAGTAGGGAACTTCCACTCAAGGATAAAAATGTGGCGTTATAGATGCGACATCCATGGACACTCCTGCGCTTGAGGTGAGACTTCATTCCGAACAGGACACGTGTCGGAGTGATAAGAGGATCTTATTCGTCACTCGCTGAGTATTTTCCACGATGACTTCATCTTGCCCAAGCACCTGGTTACAGCGTCCGAACGTGGAGGGCACACGGAGGTAGCAAGCTGCTACGGCCGGCAGCTGGAACGAAGCGCGGTACAAGATGGACTACGCTTCTGTCTTCGTTAAAGAGGTGAGATAATCTGTGTGGCAGATGCGTCATAAGTGATCCAGACCACTAAATTTTGCGGGTAATCATAAAAAACTGGGATGGCACACCGCTCATTTGGCGGCGTAAGCGGGCGAAATGGGGGCTATGAAATAGCACATGTACCACATTATTGTTGCTATGTAGGAGAAAAATCTAATGAGCCCATATATACCAAATGGCCTTTCACTTCGACGAGGAGGTGGAGCCAATCCAGCTGGTCTTAATTCTATGCGCACACAGCGACCCCGAGCGGTAGCTTGAAAGGCGGTACTTTAACAAAGGCCACTGAAGACCAAACAGTCGCCTGTCAAGTTTTCCCAGCTGTATATGAGGAATTGAGTAGAATCCTGTTAATATTTCAAAAAATCAAGGAGGCTGAAGTGGCTACCCACATTTGATTCGGTCACAGTTGTGCACTCACAGTGGAACAAACAAAATCGGAGGACATGGAGGAGATGGAATGATGCTATGGTGAGTGGGATGCAAGCGGTCGTTTGGAAGGGGATTGTTAGAAGAACTTTGTTAATTACTTTCCATCATATTGCAGAGGACGCTAACAGGACGGCAGTTAGGCGGTTTTTTAACGTCCTTCGCAAACGGGGGTTGGATCGTTTCCGGGACGGACTATGAGGAGTGCGAAAGGATTCGGTAAACAGTGTGATAACAGAAGCCTGCTGATTTAGGATCTTGGGGTGGAGGCCTACAGGGATCATCTTGCGTCACACCAGATCAGAACTGAATGGATTTCTGGACTACAAATACAGAGATCAAATATGTGCATAGCTTAATTTGATTTGGATTTTTGCGCGGCTTTTTCGAATGAGGGGCTATATTTCTCGCGCACGCAGGGCATGCGATTCATGCACAGTTCGCAAACGGGGGTTGGATCGTTTCCGGGACGGACTATGAGGAGTGCGAAAGGATTCGGTAAACAGTGTGATAACAGAAGCCTGCTGATTTAGGATCTTGGGGTGGAGGCCTACAGGGATCATCTTGCGTCACACCAGATCAGAACTGAATGGATTTCTGGACTACAAATACAGAGATCAAATATGTGCATAGCTTAATTTGATTTGGATTTTTGCGCGGCTTTTTCGAATGAGGGGCTATATTTCTCGCGCACGCAGGGCATGCGATTCATCAACAGGACAGCATTCTGATTGGTTAGTTGTGCACAAGCCAGGAAGCACGCACGTTCGAAACGCATTTGTGCGCAAGCCAAGAAAAAAAGGGTCAGGTTGTTAAAGCTGTTAAAGTTAAAGATAGACTGTCAGTTTAAGGAAGAAAATGGCGCGAAACAATAAAAGGGGTTTAACTTGGGATATCGCCGCATCTTCGCCTGAAATATGTACAATTTGACGTCTATAAAATAAACAGGTAAACATTACAAAACACATTCACGTATCTTGAAATGCCTTCTACTGATCTTCGAAAGATCCTTTCTTCACATCACATTTTCCAACAAGAATTTCGGCAGGAACTCGACATTTGTGTTTCCAAAAATCTCGATTCAGATTTAACTCTTGTCTTGGATATTTATGCGCATTCAAGAACCTTCGAACTGAGAACACTAAGTTGCCTTCATCTTATAATTAATCTTATAACTGATTAGTCACATTTTATGTTGTACAAAACTGTCACCAATGTCACTAGTGTCCTATGGTGGAACGTGCTAACGGGGAAGTCGAAAAGAAACCGGATGTCGCCGCTCGGATTAGGACCGCGGATCAACAGGCTCCTCCGCAGAAGATTACCCAACCTGGCCACCGAGCCGCATGTGGCGGCTGGTGCAGACCTCTCCCAAGCTGCTAGGCCTCGTATGGAGCTATGGCATAGATCAGGTGACTCGGATCAGCAAATCATTTGCTTCGGTGTGGTTTGCGCATGAGTCGACTTCCCGCACTGTTGCGGTTCGGTCATGCAGCGAGCAAACAATATGATATGCGGATTGTGGCAATACTCTATCCCCAGCTATGTTGCTTGATCCAGACTCCTAGCACGGCGGATAGTAAGAAGACGAAAAACCTCGGACACAAACTTTATTCATCCAAAAACACGCGATCAACAGGTGATGCCCCGAGCTTCCGGACCAAAGTCAGTAAAAAGATCGTATGGATTTAAATTTCTTGGAATATCAATAGGACATTGATTTATTCACAGTTTGACCTTGAAGATGCCGGAAGTTCGCTAGCACACATAAAAACAGCGTTTTCTGGGGGATATTGATATCCCCAACACCTCCCCTTGTGAAAAGTCAGTAGCGTACTCGACGGGGGTCGACCTGGATACGCTCCGGCTGGCGGCGGCGTCGGTCTGTCCACCGCCTGGGAAGAAGTGTTGGATCAAATACTGAGCTGCCGGTCACACTCTCCTCTTTCGAAGCTGTCTCAGTTTTCAGCTCAAAAGTATAGTGCAATATGTCCAACGGTACGGTACCCAAACATACTTGAGTTTCCGGCATGCTGTTAAAGCGGGGTTGGTTTTGATGTCTGATCCAGGTGTCCTGACCAACCGACACGTCATACATTACACTACTGCGTTTGCGCAGGATACGACCTGCAATCCATGAATCGTGTCTTGGGCGATAGTCACGGACAAGCACGGGCGTTCCCACCTTGAATGGGGTTCCAACTGCCACCGGTATGGACCTTGACTCAGTAGGTTGTGTTGGCAACATGGAAGAATACACAGTTCTAAGTTCACGGCCCATGAGTGCCTCTGCAGGTGACTGGTGGTTTGCCAAAGCGTCATTCGGGGTCGTTCGGTACACAAACAGGAATCTCTGAACGGCGTCGACGGATGTCTCCTCCCCTCGAGCTTTAAGCAAAGCCCTCTGGAATGTGTCGACGAACTTTTCTGCTTAACCGTTCGATTGTGGGTGGTACGGTGCTGAACAAACGTGTGTTATCGCATGTCGAGTGCAAAAGTCGCGGAACTCAGCGGAGGTGAACTGCGAACCATTATCTGAGACTATGGACTCCGGTAATCCATGCTGACTGAAAATGTTGGATAACACTCTCAGCGTACTAGATGTTGTTGGAGATGACACCAGAATGATTTCTGGCCACCTGGAAAAAGTGTAAATCAAAACCAAATAAAAAGTGCCGTGTATCGGTCCTGCGTAATCAATGTGTATCCGAGACCAGGGAACCGGTGGTTGATGTGGCGGATTCTTTGCAGCTTGTTGACGTTCGGAACAGCGTATTACAAAATCAGTGATGTGCTAGTAAATATGCGGCCAGTATGCGTAACTGCGAGCGATTGACTTCATACGGTTGATTCCTGGATGTCCAGAATTGAACTGACGAAGAACTCGATGGCGTAAAGATTGAGGAATCCCCACACGATTTCCAAACATAAAACAATCTTTTACGATTGCTAATGCATCTCGGCGATGAAAGAGCTGTCGAAGACAATCATCTTTGAGGTTCGAAAGCCACCGAGAATTCATGAATTGGATCACCTTTTGAAGCGTTCGATCAGCTGTGGTGGCTCTTTGAACCTCTGTTACTGTCACGGGCAAGGCACGAACGGACTGGACCAACTGTGGGCCGGCTGGGTCCTCAAATACAACATGCGCAATAACCATGTCTTCTTCGGGTGTTGGCTAGTTGCTGATTAGCCGAGATAATGCATCGGCCTGACCGAAGTCGGTGGTGCGCCGATATTGAATATCGAAGTCATAACCCAGCATAACCAGAGCCCATCTTTGCAGGCGGTTAGCAGAGTGCGCTGGAACATCTTTCTTTGAACCAAAGAAGGAGGGCAATGGTTTGTGATCGGTGAGTGGAGTGAAACGGCGGCCACACAGCATTTTGGGGAAGCGCCGAACCGCAAACACCAGTGCCAACGCTTCTTCCTCTATTTGGCCGTATCGCTGTTTTGCTGGAGTTAGCGATTTCTACGCAATGGCTTCTACGCACAAGGGCTTTCTCTGATCCATCTGGGAAGACGTGGAGGATGACAACTCCGACTCCACAGTTGGAGGCGTCAGCTGCCACAATAATCGACAGTTTCGGGCCGTAGTGGGTCAGCAGTATATCAGAGGTGAGCATGGTTTTCAGCTTGCAGAATGGTTCCTCACATTCTTCTGACCAACACCACGGGACGTCTTTTCCAAGCAACTGATTAAGCGGAGGCCGGATGTCGTGTAGCGCAGGATGGAATGCCGAACAATAATTGATCAGAAACAGAAAAGTGCGTAAGGATGGGACATCATTAGGGGGCGGCATCTGCTGTATAGCTCGGATATTCTCCGGGTCGGGAT